AGCAAAAGCAAAGCGTAACTCAGGTGTTCCAGAACCTGTATACATTTGGTTTTCACGTTAGGAATAAAACTTAAGGTAACACCAGAACTGAAATGGGAGTTGAGGAGATTCAGCAGAGCTGGAGTAATGTAATTTGGAATATTCTCTGAGCTGGAATGTGCTCAGAATTAATTATCAACCATTTGTACTAAGCAGAGAGAACCAAGTAGCAGTGTACTTCATGGAATGATTAGAGCATGCATTGTACTGCAGGAACAAAAAGATCCAGAGATATAAAAAACATTTCACTCCCCAGTTTACCATATTTCATCTTCAGTTTCAGGGTAATCTTAAGAACATGCCAAATATTTTAAATTGCTAACATTCTTTTAAAATCCTAGAGGAATCCCAATTTTATAATGATAGGTCTTTTTTTTTCAAAGACCATTAATGCTGAAATTAACAGCAAGCTGTCAATAATTGGAGAGGGATAATGTAAATTAAAATGTTTGTTCAGACTAGGTAGAAAATGTTTTTACTGTTCTTTGGACCATATTATTTGAATGATGAGTGGAGAGAACCACTTAGGTTTGTACAGATCCAAACGTATTTAATTGAGTAAATGGTTACAGGCACCAAACGAACATTTTATTTCCATTTCTCCCTTTCATTGTACAGTTTTGCAGGATGTAGTCATGCAAGAACAGCAGTTCAGGCAGAGACTGCATGATGCTGCACAGATGGAAGAAAGCACCCACATGTTATAACTTGCAGGGTGTGTTCAGAGAAGTGCAGAGAAGGCTGCCAGTTCTCTCATCTGTACTGAGGTGTGATCAACAGCAGGTTAGTATGGGAGTATGAGTTAGGGACCCCCAATTAAAAGGAAGTAAACTTATTCTGCAAATAGTCGTTACAGAATAAGAGCACCCTAAATAGCTAAAGGCCTTAATTGATCTCAAGCACTGTCCTAAATCAGCCATCTATCCCTCTAGTGTTTCCTTGCTGCTAATGGAGAAACAGTCACCCAGAAGATGACTCAGACATTAGTGGAGGTACTTCTATCTTTCTACTAGTTGTTAAAAGTGTCAAGACTAGATCTGTAATAGATTAATACTGTTCATGATCAGTACTATTTGTGGGATGATAATATAACCTTTATTGTCACTCTGCTATCCTTCCTATGTTGCCATCGCTCAGGATTTTACTAGGAAACATAACCCTACAAAATGTAAAGGTTCCAGTGATGCGCTGAACATATGTGTCTTTGGTATCAATATGCAATGCAGAGTTTAAGCAGCCCACGGTTTAATAAATATACTGCATTTCAGTCTCCCCATGTAGATTCTAGAGATCACCCGTACGATTTCTGCACAAAATTTGTGAGAAAGTGTAGATAGAGCTCAGGCAGTAGGTAAGAGTGGGACTGTACATTACCAAATAAAGTGTCACAGGAAATGAATTACCTGTTTTTTCCACTTCCCACTTTGTGTTTATGAGTATGTGTTCATTTGGATTTTGTTGTTCCGTATCTGAAGAAAAGCTTAGGACTTCCAGCTTATGCACTGCACTAATTTAAGAACTGAATCTCATTTTCTCTCCATCTGATATCACAATGCAGGCACGAAGTGCCATAAAGAAAAGCTTTCTAAAATCAATCCATATGTGCTAGTTAGTTCTGAATAGTCCAATTTAATCCCCTATCTATGACTGAATTAAAAAAGCGGTAATTGAAAAGTAAAAAAAAATACCCAACTGAATGGAAGTGGCACATTTTATAGAACTTTCTCAAGAAATGGGATGTTGCCCAAACCTGCAGTGCCAAAGTCAGTTTTTAATTATGTTACTATAAACTAAAACTAATTATGCTTTTTGGAGTAGAATCATCTTCAATTTGTGTTGTAAATGAAATAAACCTCATCCCACTAAGGTACAATGAAGCAAAAACCAAATGTGCATGAAGAGATTTCTGTAGTTTTGCCAGTCTAGTCACTGGGAGAGCTATTACTCTGTCCCATACTAGGAAAACCTGGAATAAGTATTGAAGTCGTTGGCTCACCTCAACCTCTTTGCTAACCGTTTTGTTCTGTGTAAAAATTCTGATTTGGCTTGATTTCTTCCCTTAGTAACAATATCAGGCAGGCAGTTCTTAACAGCTTCAAATTTCTGAGCTGCTAAAATATGCAGCAGTGATACATGACGAGGTTTCCTTCACTCTCAGAGATTTTAGAACATCCACGTCTAAGGACACTGGATGTTGCTACAGGAAGAACGCCATGCCTTTCTGTTCCAAGTCTGTGTTTTCATCTATGTGAAGATAAAAAGTAGAAAAATAAACCCAGAAAACTAAATTTAGTCACGTAAGATGGAAGCTACCCAAACCCTCTAGAGATCTGGACCAGTGTGTGCTTGTGAAAAACAGTGTCATGACAGCATTACACCCAGCCCAGGCTCAATACTCCGAGTGCTGGGCCGTTGTTCCCCAGGGCTCTGAAGCTAAATGACAGAGTGAAAGAAGGTGAATGAAAAAGAGCCAGCGAGGTGGTTGTATGATGAAAGTACAGATCAACACATGCTACAGCTTGCTCTTTGTCTAATCTTTGGCACAGAGAGAAGTGATCTCCAGCCTTCACAGCAGGCAGTGTTTTGTATCCCTCCTGTCCCCATGGGATTCTGTGGTTTGCTAAATCTTTTAGAATTCTTCCCTTGAAAAAATAATAATCAAGGATTTGCAGTGTTTTCAGAACTCCCCTCTGCCTTGTTATGACAAGTGTAAGAATTGTAAGAGTTCACTAAGCCACATTTAGGTGCAGAGGAGAAATCCACCTTTTCTGAATTATTTTCTTAGCAAGTATAGTGTAGAAAAGAAAATCTGGAATAGGAAAGGCATAGCCTTAAAATTGTTTTCTACTGAAGTCTAACATCAAAAACCAAATTAATAAATTGGAATTAAAGTTGTTAAAGGAGGGTGGCAAGTGTCCTTTGATGTATGAGCAACGAGCATTTGCACTACTCTCCTCCAATTGCAATAAACAAGTTACTATGGAGAGGACAATCTAGCAAACGGAAGCAGTGCTTTTTCATTTCAGACCAATCCTTGAAAACTTGTAATAATGACATGTAATAGAAAAATGCTTGTAATTCAGTAAAACTTACAGTAATTATTAGTACAATAAATGACAAAATTACTTAAGTAGGATTAAGCATGTTTACTTGAAAACATTCAGCCTGATGGATAGAAACTGAACGAGTCTGTCTTTTGCCCTTTATGCTCTGGTACCTCTGTAGCACTAGAATGAAATTGGAACTGAATTTATCTAATGTAGGTAGGTTATCTATTTCTTTCTCTGCAAGCACTTTGTCTTAAAATAATGTTGATTGTCTTCTTAAACACAAATGAAGTTTTATAGAAGTTAATTTACCTAGAGACTTCTAATATCTCTGCAGTCCTACAACTATGTGTGGAAAAATAATTGTCATGCATCCCCCATTTGTTTCTCACAAAGATGGAGCCTCAAGACAGCTGATAGAGAATTAAATATGTTTTGGAAGAATGTAAATATTTATCTTTTAAAGAAGTATCCTTGATCATAGCAAATCCTACTCCTTGTGGCTGTTACTGCACTGTCACTGAAGTCTCCCTTGCACATAGTACCTCTCACCGACAAAGTAACCCCACATCTTCCCAAGTCATCTTGTCTTTTGTTTGGATGTTTTAAGAGATGCTGTTAAGTATGCAGAGTATACCATGTTAAGTATGCAGAGTATAGCACTGAATAGCCACTCTCATTAGAGAGATTCTCTGTCTAGATCTACCCAGAAAATTAAAGAACAGCCTTACTCTTCACAGATAAAGAGGATATGCTACTCTCTGAACAGCTGAGAAGAGGCATTTCTCAGAAGTCATGTCTTCTTTGTTTATGCACTGAAAACTCATACAGTCAGCATACCATGCACTAAACTGGTGTTTAAATATTTCTCGAGTTAACTATGTTAACATGGTACAAATCTTTCTAAGCACAGAAGAAAGAGAAATAAAAGCACTACTCTGAATTGTATATTTAGTATAAAATCAGTGACATCAAAGTGTATTGTATGATTCATTGGAAGGGGGAAAGCATACCTGGCAGGACTTTATACAGACAGCTGACTCCCAGTGCTTTTCAACTATTAGAACCCTACGCAGTATTGGTTTAGGATGACTTCATAAATTCATAGTGCTTCAGCTGTAAAAGTTGTGAGGGACAGCTGAAGCCTGTTGAGCTTGATGTAAAACAACAGGTTCAGGTACAGAAAATGATCTCTCTGACATTAAAATAAATATGTAAAGCTTTATAAACCACTCCTGTAAAAGTGGTTCAGTCTCTCCTTTTGGCCTAATAGGAAAAGCCATTGAAGATCTATCTTTTTTTGCCTGGTTGGCTTTTGATGAATCCTAAAAGCAACGCCTGTTCTGGCAACAGTGGAGAGAAGGCGGAGAGTAGGAAAACCACAAAAGACTCAGAGCTTCCTCAGGTTGTCACTGACCTCCAGCCTTTTCATACTCTAATACTTTGCATCCTAAACTTGTCCTGGGTTTAGGACACAAAACAACAAAATGCAGATCAGACTAGACAGTTCTTCGCTGCTGTTGTGCTTTTCTAAGTCCTAGGCCAGCCCGTAATGCTTGTGTGAGAAGTGCCAAGAACGAACTAAGGGTGGTCTACTTAAACAAATAGTCCCTACTTCTGCTGTGATAGCAGTAGTCATACCTTGTGGTTTCTAAACCCATCTTGCTATGGGGACAGATCATGAAAGACCCTTCTTTCCTCTCCATTAATACTGAGTAATCACTGTTAATCTGCCGTGCTGTGTAGTGAAAC